CCCCAGCTCCTGCCTGGCAGAGCTGACAGGGCTCTCCAGGGGCCAAAGCACTCCTGGTTTTCCACATCGAACACCAAGGCCATTTGGGGTGGGCTGGTCTGTTGGGGCTCCTCGATGGCAGATCGCTGTGTAACGCTCATCTGGCCAGCTGCGCATGCTCACTGCAGCTGCCGCCTGGCTGGCTGCCCTTCCTCTCGCTCTAAGGCTGCAAGCCAAGGGGGTCTCCATCCTGTCCGCAACCTCTGGGGGGCCTGAGCTAGAAATCTGTAGCTACAGACGTGTTCTGATATGGTTTTTTCTGGAGGTGTTCAATGCCCATGAGGAAGGCTATGTCCTCACTTTAACATCAAACATGATGGGCACCGTATCTATGCAATTTGAAGTCTTCAGTAAAGCTTTCTCTCCCTTTGGTTTGAAAAAGGGGGATTTGCTGGTTTACTGTGCCCATGGCAAAGTAAATCTAGCTGTGGAATCATACCTTAAGCTCTTCGCTAGGCTATGCTATTTGGTCTTCTGTATGTGGCCAGGCTATTATAACAGGAAAATGTTAGCCATCCCTTCTATAAGGTATAAAGATCAAACTGGACATTCCTATGGACATGTCTTTCAAATCGAATCCGTTTCCCATCTTGAAGAAACTAGAGGAGAAATGAGGGAACAAGTCCGGCTTCCCAGGTCCCCTACTCTCAATAACTTAATAGCAAGTGAAAAACTTTAGCAAACAATTTTACTTGTTAAATAACAACTTTAAAAACATTTACCAAAAGGTCCAATGCATCCTGTAACTTTTAAGACAAGAGTACATGCATTTGAAAGCATTACTTAAATATCTAACACAGGTCTAATTTGTTTGGAAAACCCATGTCAAACACGTCAATGAAACATTTTAGTTTCTTTCTAGCAACAAATTTTAAGCATCTAATACAGATTTATCTAGGTCCCATGAACCAGAAATATATTTTGGGTTAATTTAGCAGTTTAAATGTATATGATCAATCTTTTATCTATAAACCAATTAAAACAGAGTTCTTGAGGCTGGCACTGTAGTGCAATGAGTTAAAGCCCTGGTCTGCAGCGCCGGCATCCCATATGGGTGCTGGTTCTAGTCCCGGCTGCTCCGCTTCTGATCCAGCTCTCTGCTGTGGCCTGGGAAAGCAGTAGAAGATGGCCCAAGTCCTTGGGCCCCTGCACCCATGTGGGAGACCCGGAAGAAGCTCCTGGCTCCTGGCTTCGGATCGGTGCAGCTCTGGCTGTTGTAGTCATTTGGGGAGTGAACCACTGGATTGGATTGAAGACCTCTCTCTCTCTCTCCCTTTGGTTCTACCTCTCTCGGTAACTCTATCTTTCAAACAAATAAAATAAATCTTTAAAATAAAGAAAAAAAGCCTGCTGTGCAAACAGAAAAGCAGCAAGAAGAGACGGAGCAGTGCTGTTGAGTTCCTGCCCGGAGCCAGCACTGGGAGAGACGCTTCCGACCTGCACTAGCGCCTGCAGGGACTGGAGGGGCATCGTTCTTAGGAATGTGCTTGGCTGCAAGTAAGAGGAACGCTGACTCACGGGGTCTCCAGACAGATGTGGGATTATCTCGCGGGCAAGAAGCCCGGAGGTAGAGGGTTCCAAGGAACAGCCACTGTCCAGCCCTCTCTGATGTCCCTGGCCTTCCTTCACTCCACTAACCCTCACGTCACCCCTCATTGGCCCCCAAAGCAGAAGAGGCGGTAGATGGGGAGGAAAGACATTTTCCAGAAGCCCCAGTGGACATCTGGAGGTGCTCACCTCTGGACAAACCTCCAGCAAAGCGGGCTTCCCTGGCCAGCCCAGACCAGGGCAGGTCATTGGCAGAGCAGGGGGTGGGGCCTCCATCAGACTCCACCCCCACCCCTAGGTTCTGAGCGCATCAGGCCCCGGGAGCCAGGCAGAAGCCCGCATCAGCACACTCTCCGCCTCTGGGTCTGAGCCGCTGCGTCTCCACTCAGTGGAGGCGGGAAGAGGGATGTGAAGTGATCTGGACTCAGGTGACACCAGGCTGCACCGAAGCCAGGGATAAGGACAGAAGAGCTAACGTGTATTGAGCACCTACTGTATGCCCAGGCTCAGTGCAGGGTGATGTCATTCTCCCACTTAGCTCAGTCTCTATAGCAACCCAGGGAGGAAGGAAGGGGTGGGAATAGAAGAGTTAACATTTATTGAGCACCTACTGTATGCCAGGCCCAGGACAGGGTGATGTCATTCTCCCACTTGGCTCAGTCTCTATAGCAACCCAGGGAGGAAGGAATCACTCTTCCCAATTCTCAGACGAGAACACTGAGACCAGCTGCCTCCCCCTGGCCTGGTGAGCAGCGGAACTGGAGCAGGTCAGCAGCTCCCGGCGCGTTTCAGGCACTGGGGTCTGCCAGCCGCCGAGGTGCGGTCCTGTGCCCCCACCTCAGCCCCACGAGGCTCTTCTCCCCGCCACCAGCTGCAGCCCCAGGCTGCCGAGTGCACGGCTGTGCGCTGGCCGGGCTGGACCATGGACCCCACTGCCAGAAGCCAGCTCCGTGGAGCTCCCCAAATTTGGAGAAAACCCTCCGGGCCCGTTCTGCGGCCTTTTTGGGATTGTTGGCGCGGCGGATAAGCTGGATAAATAAACAAGGACTTCAGGAAACCCCTTTGCCTCTTGTTCTGAATCCGCGGAGGCCACGCAAGGGTCACTGGGCTGCCTTGACAGCCGAGATTAAGCAGGCAAATAAATGGTCTCTAACGTGATAGCGGGACGTGTGAAGTGCTGCCAAACCAAAACCCCAGACAACCGAGGGAAGGCAACAAAGCCATTGGCCAGACGGCCAGGGAGGCAGGGATGTGGAAGCTAGGGACAGAGCAGGCTGTGCACATCTCCCAGTGGAGGCACAGCCAGTGCAAAGGCCCTGAGGCGGGGGGGGGGGGCAGGCGGGCACGTCTGGGGCGACGTGGGGAGCCCAGTGTGTCTGCAGTAGAGTGGGCAAGGTGGGGAGGTGAGGTCAGCAAAACAAAGGGTGGGGGGCTCCGTGGGTCGCTGTGAGGAATCTGGTGCTGCTCAGAGTGAGGTGCAGCCGGGGTTCAACCAGAGCATCTTTCCTTCAGTCTCTGGTGGGGGCTGGGGTGGACGGGGGGGGGCACCAGCAGGAAGCTGGGCTCCGCCAGGATGGCTCAGGCCTCGACGTCCCAGCTCCAAGTCCAGCGCTGTTTCACACCCCGCCCCCGCCCCCCAGCACTCAGCAGTTTGCAGCAGCCACCCGGCCGCTCCCAGGGAAGGCAGTGGTCCAGAGGCTGCACCTGCCCAGGGCTAGCCGGGTGGAAAGGCGGCGCCACCCCGGAGCCTGGCCCGGGCCTCCCAGCTGCCAGCCCGGCCGTCGGCAGCGCCTGGGGGTGCCCCTTTGCGGAGTCTCGGGCACCGGCCCCGGCCCTCCGGGCGCAAGGGTGGCGAAGCTCTGGAGCTGAGGATGCGGGGCCGCGACGCGTCCCGAGCGGCCAAGGCAGCCCAGAAACGGTGCCCTCCCAACCAGGCCACCCCGCCCAGCCCAGCCCGACGTCTCCAACGAGCCTGGGGTGGGGGCTGGGAGCGGGAGCATGGAGTCCGTCCAGGTGGACGTGGGGGGAAAAGCCCCTCCCTCCTTGCTCCTCCCCCTCCCCTCCCCGCCCCCGCATTTCCTCTCTGCCCAGCCAGCTGCCCCCTCCGTCTCCCCTCCGCCCCAGCGCCCCCTGCCCTGCCACATCCCTCGCTTTCCCCTCCGACTCCCCGCCCGCCCTCCGGCCCACATTTTCCGTTTCGGCAGGAGCTGCGGGGCCCGGGGTCTGCAGGGGTGCGGCCGGCCGAGCCCTGGGAACCTCGGAGGGGCGGGGCGGAGGGGCGGGCGGGGGCGGGGCGCGGGCGGGGCGCAGGGGGTTACCTGGGGGCGCGCAGCCCCGCCGCGCAGCCCCGCGCCGCCGCCGGGGCCGAAGCTGCCATGACCTGGGCGGTGTTCCTCGGCCTGCTGGCCGCGCTGTCGCTGCTGCTGCTGCTGCTTCTGGGCCGCCGGCGCGCGCGGTGAGTGCCCCTGCCCGGGCCCCCCATCCAGCGGAGGGGGCTGTGCCGGGCTGCCCTGCCTGCGAGGCCCAGGAGGGGAAGGGGCGGCGCGGGGAGGTGTGGGTCGGTGCCCCTGGATGGGGAGCTGGTGCGGGGACGGCGCGCGCGACCGTCAGTCTTCAGGTGGGGCGGCCCCTACCCAGTAGGGGTCGAGCCCTCTGCGGAGGCCTTGCCGCCCACCCCATTTCACAGGCTGGAGAGTTGAGGCCGGAGTCGGTGGAGGCCCTGGGTGCGCTTCTGCGGGATTCCTGCGCGAGGCAGAGCCACGTGGCTCAGCCTCCGGCCGGGAGGCAGGGAGCAGCAGGTCTTTGGTAAACAGGTTTTTAAAAATAACTTGGAATTGTGCGAGGAGTAACTGACTTCCTTCGAATTCAAACAAATACGAGTCCTGTTGGGGTTAAGAGGAAGGCTCTCCAGATGGGTCCTAGCCCTCCCCTCTTCCCTGGATGGAACTTTCCATATTACGTATATATATGTGTAAGTATGTATATGTATACTTTATTTTAGATTACTTTGGGACTTACGGAAAAGTTGCAGAGTTGGTATAAAGAGTTCCTGAATTCCTCTCGCCCCTTTCCTGGGTTGGTAACGTCCTGGAGCGCTGTGGCGTGTTTGTCACGCTTGGGAACAGCCTGTCCGTTATGGTAGCGGGACCTCAAACTTTTTTGGGATTTCATCAGTTTCCCATCGATATCTTCTTTCTGCTCCAGGAGCCGATCCAGGCTTCCCACACTCTGTTCTGTCCCCCCAGCTGTTTTTAAAATTACTCTTCGATCCTAGACATGGGCCTGTGGATAACGGAGGGAGGAAGGGAGGGAGGGAGAAAGGGAGAGGGAGAGAGAGAGAGAGAGAGAGGGAAAGGGAGAGAGAGAGAACATTCGAGTGTCTGAAATTTCTGGACACATTGGGAACTTTTCATTTCAAAACACCGTGTCAGTTGAGTTTTGACAGTAAGCTCGCTGTGCGTTTCTGCAACCAACACACGGCTTTTCGGTGAAATTTAAAGCCGTGCGTTCCATCACTGACTCCAAGAGAAGGCAGGCGGCCAGGAGTGTGTCCAGCGAGGGAGCGAGGGAGCGGGCGATCTCTCTGAGGTTGTCAGCCGTCCTGGATGCTCCGCAGGGGGCCGCGTACCAGGTCTCGGTTCTGAGGGCCGTGCCCGGGTCTGCATGGGGCACTCTGGGGTGACAGCCCGCAATCCGGGGAAATCGCAGGCTCCTCTGTCCTCCTTTTGCTGTTGTCCCTGTGGATGCCTTTCCGGTTGTCTCCAGTGTTCCTGCTGTTTCCCGCCGGGTGTGGTGGGCTGCACCTTTGTTGGGTGAGTGGGGGCAGCCGAGAGCTGGGTACACGTAGTCCAGGAGGCAGGGTCCTGGGACCCGGAATTGGTGGCATGTGGAGACCCCAGCCTGCAGAAACACGGACAGGTTGAGAAACCACTTCTGCCTCCGTCTCCTCGTGTTTAAATGGGGTCATGTTGACAGTGGTACTGCGGACAGACTTCGGGCTTAGCAGGAGGGCTGGGTTAATGTCATTTTGGCTACTTGGCGCTGTCGGTCTGGGGACTCAAGTGAGTGCCTTGGGAGGGTCAGCAGGTGGCTGTTGGGGACAACTGTGGCCTGGGAGGGGCTTCTGCCGGCTCGGGGGACTCCATGGGGACCCCACTGTAGGCCCCTAACCTCAGCTTCTTTTCCCAGCTCAGCTGGGGCCTCTGTTGCTGCGTTTCACGGAGGAGGAAGCAAAGGCTTAGGAAAGCCAAGCGGCTCGCTCAGCGTCTGCTGGACTAAAACTCTGAGCTTCAAGAGTTGTTTGTTTGTTTGTTTGTTTGTTTTAAGATTTATTTATTCAAAAGATGGATGGGGGCGTAGGAGGAGAGAGAGAGAAATCTTTCATCTGCTGGTTCACGCCCCCAAATGGCCACAACAGCCAGAGCTAGGCCAAAGCTAAGGAGCCTGGAGCTCCATCCGGGTCTCCCACGTGGATGGCAGGGACCCAAGCACGTGGGCCATCCTCCGTTGCTTTCCCAGCTGCATTAGTAGGGAGCTGGATCGAAGTGGAGTAGCCGGGACTTGAACCTGCGCTCCTGTATGGGACGCCGGCATCACAGGTGGTGGCCTAACTCATTTCACCACCTCTACGGCCCCAGTAAGAATTTTTAATTCACAGACAAAGTGAATCCTCACTCTTCACACGCGTTGCACTGATGATTGAACACTCAAAAGTCATAGAAGCATTTGGTGTTAGACAGGAAGAGATTCCGGGGCAAGCTGAAGATTGTCAGGGAAAGAGGAACAATCGTGTTGGAGAGAGGCGGGTGGCGCCTGTGCCGTGTGCACTCGGATCCAGGGTTTGGGTGGAGGCAAGCAAGGATTCCCCCTCCGGGACTCAGTCCTTTTCCCTGACCACGCCTGCGGTGAGGTCGTGGCTTCCAGCGCGTGGCCGGGGCTTGAAAAGGTTAAGTGACTTTCCCAAGGTCACGCAGGAATTATCCCACACATAGCCAGCTCCGCAGCTCCGGCTGTCCCAGCAGAACACACTGTTTCCCTCTGGGCAGTTCTGTTGCTACCTCCAACATTAAAAACGTAAATGTTGTTAAGCTAAGAAAAATGTCGCCTGTACAGGAAAGGAGAGGGGACACTCGTCTGAGAACCTCCGTGTTCCCAAATGCTGACCTGACAGTCGTTACCACTGCGTTCAAAGTCAAGAGGTCTTCTTTCACTTCTGGGTATGACAGAGTGCTTGTCGAAGAACCCCTGGTTCTTCCTGTATCCGTTCCTAGTCCAAACTCAAGATTCTACAGTTACGGCAACTTTCCCAGGCCAGTTCTGCAACCGAGTGTTTTCCCTGGGGCGAGGGTGGTGGGCTGACCTCGGCGCCGTGGAAGTAATATTGGCTGAATGTGAGCTAGAAGCATGCTTCTCTCTTCCTGGGCCTCCGTTTCCCTATCTGTGCTCAGACGTGGCCCGCGGAGCTGGTCACCTGGCTGAGTGCCTCTCTCTTCCTCACTGGGCGTGAGTGGCAGGTGCAGGGGCACTGACAGAGGTATCCTGGGTGGAGACCCCTTTCCTGGGGGCCAGAGTCCAAAGTGGCAGTGAGTAAGCGTTCCTGGGGCTCCAGGACTGGGGTGGACCCCTGCCTGGCACTGCGAATCCGTCTCACTGGGACAGGCCCTAAGCAGAGGTTGCTGACAGCTGGCCACAGCAGGCTTCAGCCCCGGCTGGGCTTGGTCTGTGCCACACAGGACAAGGGCAGAAAGCTGGGGGATCCCGCATCAGGAATTTCCGGCTTCTTCTAGCCCTCTCTAAACCTTGCCACAGCCCCCTCTGTCACAGGAAGGGAGAGACCCAGGCTGGCGCCGCGGGCGGTGAAGGCATTCGCCAGCAGTCAGAAACAGGGAGCGGAGTGAGAGTCATTAAAATCCCCTGCCAGGGAGCAGCAGGTGGGCAGGCCGGCGGGACGCTGATGATGCTGCTGTGAGGAGTCTAATCCAGGAGGCAGATGTCGGAGGCGTGGGAAAGCCTGCAGCCCCTAGTCCATGGAGGGCGGAGCCCCGGAGGCCCTGGGGAAGGATGGGGAGAGTGGGCTGGGCTGGGCTCAGGAGGCCCCAGCACAGACCCCGTGCGCCGGCAGCGCTGATGATGCCCGCCTCTGCTCCTCGCCGGGCTGCAGGTGCTTAGCCTGCGTTGGCTCCCTTAGCCCTCTCAGCAACTCTGGGAGGTCCCTACTGCTCACTGAGCACCGGCTGTATACAGGGTTCCTTTATCTACGGGTCAGGCCCTGCATCCCGGCAGGGACATGGGCTGATACCCCGTCTCTGCCTCCCGCCCTGGGTCTGCACAGTGGATGGTGGGAGGGAGACAGGGCAGGTGGCAGGGCTGGCCGTGCTGTCTGTGAGTGAGGAAAGGGTGCTTGTGAGAGGAACCCATGCCCTGGGACTAAACTCCAGGGGAGACGCCGAGCCCTCATGGGCAGGTGACAGCAGGAGCTGGGGATGGGAGGGTCAGGCCCTCGGCTGGCAGAGCCCCAGGTCAGTGAGAGTGTCGGGCTAGAAATAGAGCCTCCCTCTCCCGCTGGCCCCAGCTCAGTCTCCTTGGAATGTGTGTTGGGGGGGAAGCTGTGAGCCACATCAGGGGCAGGCGCCCGGCTCCCAGCTTCCTGCCTTTGTTGGCGCCTCCTCAGGACTCTCGTGGGGAAAGAGGAAAGCTGCCAGAAATAACACCCACTCCTGGGGATAAAGGGCAGGGAAAGGAAGCCCCTCCCTGCCCAGGCCGGTGGCAGGCCCCGCTGAAGCCCCGTCAAAGTCCCCTGGCTCTGTTCCCCCACCTGCCAAGCGCGGATGGAACGCGTCCACTTGGGGAGACTTAGGGCCGGGGCAGCGTCCGGAGCTGCCTGGATTAAAAACCCCGAAAGGCAAAGGACTTCGCCCCCACCCCCCACAAAGCCCCAGTTTCAGCCATTGTGCAGTGGGCCTGGCAGTAACAGCTCCTTCCTCGGAAGGTTCAGGGAGGTCACTGCTTAGTGCGGTGCCTCCGCACAGTCAGGGCTCCCTGGGTGTCAGCCATCACTGCCGACAAGGGGACATTTGGAAAACGCCAGCAGAGTGCCAGATGTGTAGTTGGCACTCGATCAGTGGCACCCAGGAGCTCATGGGTGCAGCCTCCCAGCTGCTCGGGGCCAGGTACTCTGCGAAGTGCTTGGCCACCCCCTCCGTCCCTGCTGCAGCCCGGTGCAGACAGGAAACTGAAGCATGGAGAGACGAGTCACACAGCCATAACCACCAGGCCCTCCTGCCTCTTAGTAAGAAATCGCTGCTCCCTGCCCAGCCTCCGGGGCTCTGGTCGGGGCTGGCCGGAGCCTGGCGCCCCCAGGCACGCAGGCTGTCCCCTCTGCACGCCGCCACCGCCATGCTCTGCCGTTAGGACAGGTGGTGCCTCCAGGAGACGCCGCCTTCACCTGGAGCTCCAGGATATGAAGCCAAGGAGGAGCCCTGGCAGGCAGCTCTCCTCCTCCAGACCTCCTCTTCGAGCCCGGGGCTCCGCGGCAGCCTGGGCACTGGCGGCTGCAGGAGGCTCGCCTTCAGCCTGGCCCTGCAGCCTGGCCATCCTCTCTCAGCCTGGCCTCGCCACCTGCCCTGGCTCATGCTGGGTGGGACCAGACCAAGGGAGCGGGAGGCGGTGAGGGGAGGGGGAGAGAAGGAGGAAGAGAAGTTAGTGCCGGGTGGGGAACGGAAGCCCCTGGTTGTTGTAGAAGCCCTGCCTGGCTCACTGGGGGCGTGGCCTGTGATCCCCCTCCAAGTAACTGCTCTGCTGATGTTCCCAGCGCCCCCCCCCCCCCCCGCCAACTCCCTTCTCCAAACTCGCCCCTCCCTGTCTCACATCACCCTTCTGTTTTCTGCGGTGAGCTAGAGTTCACATACCAAAAAGTTCACTCTTCTTGGGCCGGCGTTAAGCTACTGCCTGCAATGCCGGCATCCCATAGGGATGCTGGTTTGTGTCCCAGCTGCCCCACTGCCAACCCAGCTCCCTGATAATGCACCTGGGAAGGCAGTGGAAGACGGCCCAAGTGCCTGGGCCCCTGCACCCACGTGGGAGTCCCGGATGGAATTCCAGGCTCCTGATTTCAACCTTGCCTAGCCTCAGTCATGGCAGGCATGTGGGGAGTGAACCAGTGGGTAGAAGACCTCTCTCTGTCTCTTCCTCTCTCTCCGTAACTTTGCCTTTCAAATCAATCAATCTTTTTTTTTTTTTTAATTCACTGTTTTAGAGCATGCAGCGCAGTAGTTTTTTTTTAATATATTCACAGGGTTGTGTAACCATCGCCACTCTCATTCCAGAATATTTTCATCATCTAAAAAGGAGTTCTGTACCAGGGGCACTCCCTGTCCATCACCCCCCGCCCCCGCCCTGCATCCGCTCACCCCCTCCCTCCTGGCTGTTCTGTACGACAGAAACACACGCCCTCTGCGTCTGGCTTCCATCACTTGGCTTCCTGTTCTGAGGGTTCGGGCGTGTGGGACTCAGTGTTCATTCATTTTTATGAGCAAGTGGTGCTCCGTGGCGTGGAGGTACCGCACCCTGCGTCCCCCTCCCTCGGGGGCGGGCCCGGGGTTAGTCCTCCTTCCAGCTCCCGCCGCGGCTGCTGCGTGTTTGCGGTTCTTTGGCGTGGGTGCCGGCTCGGATCATAACCCCAGGCTGCTCTTAGAGCTGCAGCCACCCTTGCTCCCGTGCAAGCCGCCGGCGGTGCCCGGGCTCCCGCTGCTCCACATCCTTGCCAACACGCTTTGCTTTTCTCTGTTCAGAATTGTCGCCATTGCTGTGGCC